CCCTCCCAGGCCCAGACCAACTCCCCTGGCCACACCCCTCAGCACAGCCCCTCCCAGGCCCAGACCATCTCCCCAGGCCAGCCCCCTCCGCACAGCCCTTCTCAGATCCATGGTCTTGAACACACCTCTGTCCACACCCAGACCTCTGAGCACTTAACAGCCCATGCCCCAGTTCCCACCCTAAGCCATGTTCATCTAACCCATAATCATTCCCACACCTTGGTCCCAGTGCCTCTACTAACTTCTGCCTCCACCACTATTCCTGCCCCAGCCCCTGCACCAGTCCCTGTCCAAATCTCTGCCCCAACATCTGCCCCAACTCTGGTCATGACTCTGACTACCACTCCAGTCCCTAATCCTATCCATGCCACCATTCCTACCTCCATCCTTCCTCCTCCTCCCTCTAACCTGACTGTCCACAGCCACGGCCTCTCCATTGGCCATGTGGTCCATGATGGCCACAGGGTAAAGCAGAACTTATTCCAAGTGTGCTCCCCTCAGAACTTTGGATATTCCAGAAAGGACCTGGGCACCCTCTCCAGGCTCCAGGAGGAGCAAGGCCTGGTGAACTCTGGTACAGCTGCACAAACATCAAGCTCATACAGTAGAGATGATGATAAATCCTCTACAGGATCTGTACTAGGTTACCTGGAGTTGGGAAATATGGAATGGAAGATCTCAAATAATGCTGAAGACAAGCTCTTACAGCCCCAAACTTTCCCTTACTGCAGCTTCCATCCTTGCAATTCTGAGAAGAGAAACACAGAATCCCAGACTCCAGTCTACCCCAAATTTCTGGTCTACTCAAAGGATACTACACCTTCCCAACCTTGCTTCCATTGTCCAACCAGTACCCAGAACTCACAGTGTAGCATTCCTCCACCATGCACTCTTTCTCTGCCTCTTGTTCCTCCAAGATCCTTTGTCCTTCATCAATCTGCCAACCACCAGAAACTCTCCACATTAATACAAACCTCCACCCTTCTTCCAAGCTCCAGCTCTCCTCATTCCAGCCCCTCTTCCCAGTTCCCCATACCTCCTCAGTTCTCCATGATTTCCCAGCCCCCTGAAGTTCATGAGAGTCTAGGCCTCCCTCAAGACTCTGGCCTCCAAAGGACTCTAGATCCTTCAAAAGACTCTCAAGTTACCAGGAACCCAGAACTTACCCAAGATTCAGGCCTCCATAAGAATCCAGGTGTTGCTCAAGACTTAGACCTCCACAAGAACCCAGACCCCAGCAAGAACCCAAGCTCTTCCCAGGACTCTGATCTTCAGAAGAATCTAAATATTACCCAAGATTCTGGCCTACAAAAAAGCCAAAGTGCTACTCAAGATGCTAGTATCTTCAGAAGCTCGTGTCTTACCCAACCCTCTGGCTTTCACAAGAATACATTTCTCCAGGCTCCTGACATTCAGAAAAACTCAGGCATTATGCAAGGCTCTGGGGTTTGTAGAAACCTAGAACAAAACCAAGAGACTGTAGTCAACAAAAGTCAAGATCTCTCCCAAAGAACTGGCATCCCTAACAGTCCAGTCCCTTCTCAAGATGCTAGAGGTCACAAGAGTACAGGTAATATCCAAAATCCAGGAGTTTCTAAAAATGTCAACTTTACCAAAGATTCTGACACTCAGAAATACCCACACCTTGCCCCAGACACTCGAGTCAAGAAGAATTCAGGCATTTCCCAGGAATCTGGTCTCCACAAGTACCTAGGTCATATGAAAACCCCTGGCCTCCATAAGGGTTCAAGCCTTACCCAAGACTCAGGAGACAACAAGAGTCTAGGCCTTGTTCAAGATTCTGTCATTCACAAGAATCCAGGCTTTACCCAATCCACTGAATTAAAAAGATTTGGTCTTGCCCAAGATATTGGAATACACAGGAACCCAGAATATACCCATGATGCTAATTTCCACAAGTACCCAGGAATTAATCAAGAGCCTGGTCCCCATAAGGGCCCAGCCCTTATCCAAGATACCAGACTCTCAAAGAGTCTAGGCTTTACCCAGAAGTCAGGCCTCCACAAGAACTCTTGTCTTATCCCAGATCCTGACCTCCAAGAGAACCCAGGCCTTGCTCTAGGTACTTGCTCTGATCAAGTTTTGGGCCCACTCAAGACTCCAAAGTCAACACTGTCCCTTGTGAAATCATTTGTAACTAAGGACAAGCCTCGGAAGGAAAATACGGAGCAGCATGTATCATGGAAGTCTGCCCCACTCAACCCGAACTCCTGCTCTTCCAAGAACCAGGTGAGCAGCAATGACGTGCAAGCCTTCTCAGAGGTACCTGTACTAATTGAACTGCAGCCATCCTCCCGACGAGCAGGCAGCCAAGACTGGGTATACCGCCCTATGGACCCAGTTTCTTCAGCCTGCCAGAACTACCGCCAGATGTCCGTGCCTCACAAAGCCAACTGGAAACCCTGCTGTCCTGGGACTGGTGCCCGGGTAGGGCATGTGGTCTTTGATGCCCGCCAGAGACAGTTTGGAGTGGGCAGAGACAAGTGTGAAGCTCTGTCTCCCAGACGCCTTCACCAAGAGGCATCCAGGAACTCACCTGAGACCACTGAGTGGGGATATCAGTGTGTGATGAAGACTTTGGAAAAAGAGGAGCCAAAGCTGCATCAAGAATAAAGAGATGAGAAAAATGTTCTGTGGTTTGTTTTTATTTTTTGAGATTTATTTATTTATGCATGCAAGAACTATAATACAGGCCAGAGGTGCAGGGGGGTGAGACAGAGTGGGGAGCAGAACAGGCAGGTCCACTGAAATACACTGCTGAGGTGAGCAGTGCGTGAGACAGGAGAGGTCTGCTGCGCCATGTGGGTCAGCTCCCTGGCTGGGGATCGAACTCCTGCTGCAATGGCTGTGACAGCTTCGTAGTACTGTGTCTTAACCCATGCACCACTAGGGAGGGCTCTGTTCTGTGGTCTTTTGGGGACATCCACCCCAGCCCCATTCCTCATGCTGGCCACACATGGGTCCTAATGAGGACTGGAAGTACCCCTCTCCTGCTTAGCCTTTATAACCACACAGATAAACCTATTATCCCCAAGCCCTAGAAATACATTGTTCAGTACAGTAGCCACTAGCCAAATATGGCTATTAGAACATAAATTATGATTAAATTAAGTTTAAAATTCTGCTCTTCAGTCTCATGTACATTTCAAGGGTTTTGAGTGCCTTGTGTGGCTAGTGGCTACCATGGGACAGCAAAACAGAACATTTCCACGACCACAGTCATGGACAGTATTACTTTAGGGTTTAGAGGAACATGTCCTTGTTGCCCATGTCCAGCAACTTCAAAGCTCCCAAAGAGCCTAGAGAACTTGTTTGTTTGGTTGGTTTTGGTTTCTTTCTCTTTTTAAAAATAATATAATAGTTTATTTTTACATCATTTTGTGCCTTTGTCCATCTCATTTGTAATCCCCATGGGCTTCCCATCACCAAATCACCCGTGTGCCATCACCATAGTCCAGTGCATTTCCCTCCCCCCATCGTTTTTTACCCCATTCCCTACTCCACTCCAGTAAAATGTTTCTGGTATATAATTAAGAACTTAGTTTTTTTAGAGTGACTCAGAGGCTACGCACCAGGGAGGAGATAGGGATACACAATGCCTGATCACATCCAGATGGTGAGCAAGTCCAGTCTTCAGTTTTCCTGATCTGATCTCTTGTATATATAAAAATCTATTTCCCCAGGCTGGCTATGTTTTGGGTTCTCATTTGCTGAGGGAGAACTCTTTGTTAGTGACTAGAAATCCCTGAAATCTTGGTAACTCAAAGAGACCTCGGGATTCCAAGAGGTCTTTATTTAACAGTCCTCCTGTTGTTTTTTTTTTTCTTCCAGGTGTTTAATTCCCTTGGGTTTAGGCCTATGCCACTCCAGAGGAAATCCAAGGAAAAAAGAGCATATTAGAAGCCCTAGTCCAGCAACTGATTGATCTGATCTGTGAGACTGTTGCTGGCTTCCTGTCTTTCTGCTCTATTATTTAGCCTCTGAGTTTCATCTTGGACTTAAGCTCTGTCCCTGACAAGCACTGGTTACTAAACACAATCTTCTTCCCCTGATAGCTTTCCATTACCCCCTCCCAGCCCAGCTAGGTATTTCCTCTGGACTTGATTTTCAGTCCTAATTCTTTTGTGTACACACATGAGTTTTGCAATCCCAAAGTGTTTTCCCTGTCATCGCTCATGTGTCCAAAGTGGGTGTCACTAACACATGTATATCCCTTCCCTGAGTCGGTTGTCCATTCCTGAGTCACCACATATGTTCCTGCCTAACATTACTACCACAGATTCCAAGGAGATCCACCCAGGTGTGTGGCGCCCTTTTCCAACACCTCCCTGGTTTAACTCTGACCTTAGACAAGTGACATGCAAACTTACCAGTTTGTAGTCTCATTTCCAAAATGAAGCTACAAATGCATAGAAAACCTTCCTAGATCTAAGTGACCAGGGCTCCTCTACTCACATGGTATGTAAAGGCCCCTTTTCCTACCCCGACCCCAGGATATGTCCCCCATTACTGTTTGATATTGCGACCTATCCTATTACCGACCCTGCTCCAACCTCAAGGCATGTTTGTGTGGGCCTGGAAGGACACGGAACAGCTTATCTCCATAGAAACTACAACTTCCATCAGGCTCTACTACAGCGGAAAAGGAAGGGATTGTGGGGGCGTGTAGTAGCTGGGAAGACAAACTACAATTCCCAGGGTAGCTCAAGATCTCAGCGGAGATAAAGGAGTAACTGAATTCTGACTGGAGGTGGGGCCCTCCCCGGAACCACCAAGTCAACCTCAGGAAAGGGGCGTGGTATTAATATGGGGGCGTGGTCTTGTGGCAGCAGGAAGAAGTTACCTGTTGAATCGTTCTGTCCATTCTCCTCCCAACCCCTGCGGCTACTCTTTAGAGGGAAGCCGCAGACCATAAGCCTCTTCCCAAAAAAGAGGTAAGGGGGGGTTAGACGAGGGGCAGCGGAGGAGACTTACTATTCCAAAGGAGGGGCGTCACAGCCTCTTCTTACCTGCTGAATCAGGTAAGGAGACTGGCTTATGAAAAAGGAAAAGGACAGAGGAGGTATTTATTTGTTCAGTTTCAGACTCGATTTAGAGCCCTTCATCTGCAGACTCATTGTGTACGGGGAGTGGGACACTATCTCGGCCTCGGGAAGAGAGAACTGGGAAGATTTTTTTTGACAGCGAAGGAAAGGCGGAACTAGGCTTCCTCTCCTCAGTTGTTTCCTTATCCAAAAGGTGATAGAACTACATGGCTTCTGCGGTCTGGGGGAGTGCTCCTTGGTGGGGCCCGCCACCCCCAGCCCCAGCTCGGCCGCTTACGGACATCGACTTCTGTTCCGGGGCTCAGCTGCAGGAATTAACCCAGCTGATCCAGGAACTGGGTGTGCAGGAGAGTTGGAGTGACGGGCCCAAGCCCGGGCCAGACCTCCTCCAGGCGAAAGACTTTGTCTTCTCTTTGCTAGGTAAGTAACGCCCCCTGCCTTCGGGAACACTCAGCTCCCAGCCCCGCCCGCCTTTGAGTCACGCCCTAGCGATTCCCTCTCATCCCTAGGTCTTGTTCACCGTCGGGACCCCCGCTTTCCTCCCCAGACTGAACTCTTGTTGCTTCGTGGCGGGATTCGCGAGGGCTCTCTAGACCTGGGCCCTACACCCTTGGGCCCCTATGCCCGGGGACCTCACTACGACGCGGGCTTCACACTCTTGGTGCCGGTGTTTTCGCTAGACGGCACTGGGCAAGAGTTGCAACTGGACGTGGAATCCTGTTACACATGGCTCTGCCTCCCGGATCTGATGCGCGGAACCTCGGTCCGGGAGGCATGGCAGGATTGCCTCGGACCCCCAGCCCCAATAGGACGTGATTCGATCCACCGACTCCAAAGCGAAGGAAGTCCCGGGGACCAGCAAAGCTCGGTGGACCAGACGCACGATAACGTCCCTGAGCCTGGACCGCAGGAGTCTTTGGAAAAATCACCTAGTAACGCTTTGGACCCCGAGTCGCCCCCGCAAGACGTAACCGATCTGGTCTTCCCCGCACCACTGAAAAAATCGAATGGTGACATCACCGAAGCAGAGGGTATTAACCCAGCCCCTCAGCTGTCGGAGGTTTGGAAGGCGTGGCCCACGTTGTGCCCCGCCCAGGTGGCTACTTGGTTCTTTTCTTCGCTGGCTGCGGTCGCCAAGACCCTCTTCCCCGTCCCAGGTGCCCCGCGTTTGGTCCACGCAGCCCGCCACGCGGGGTTCACCACCATTCTCCTGGCTACGCCAGGGCCCCCACGCCGCCTTCTGCTTTTCGATCTGATCCCCGTGGTATCAGTGACCGGTTGGCCCGAAGGGGCTCGGAACCAGTCGTGGGCCGGCCCGCTGGACTCGGAGTCGTCCTTCTACTTGGTGCCAAGTTGTCGCTCAGAGCCGCCGGGCGCCTACAGCTGGCAGCTCTGCTTCGCCCGCCAGGAGCTGGCGCTCAAGGCGCGCATACCAGCTCCGCTGCTGCAAGCGCACGCGGCGGCCCAGGCGGTGCTGCGCCCCCTAGTGGCCGGGACTCGGGCCGCGGCTCCCTACCTCCTGCGGACGTTGCTCTACTGGGCTTGCGAGCGGCTCCCCGCGCACTACCTGGCGCGGCCAGAGAATGCCGGCGCCTGCTGCCTGGGGCTACTGGATGAACTGGGCCGTGTGCTCGAGGCCGGGACGCTGCCCCACTACTTTCTAAGCGGCCGAAAGCTCCTCGCCGGGGAAAGCGCTTCAGTACTGCTCGCGGCCTTGGCCCGGCTCCGTGGAGACCCTGCCCAGGCGCTGCGCGCCGCGGTGGAGGAGGCCAAAGCGGCGCGCAAGGGGGGCGGCTTGGCTGGGGTGGGAGGCGGGGCTCATTAAAAGACCCTGCCCCCACCCGAGTGGAAAGTGCTTGTGTTGGCGAGAGGGCTGTGGAGAGAACTGCTCGTCTGAGGGTCAGTCTGAGTGTCCTTGGACTGTAAGACCCCGTGTAGAAGGTCTCGCTGCTTGCCCATCCTCTCATCCCTTCCCTGGCACAGGTTGTCCCACTCTTCCGTCTTCCTTCTCCGAATCTGTGGCTGGTACCTCTCCCGCCCTCCGCAGCCTCCCAGTTTTCATGGTCTTTTAGGAGTCAATAGAAATGTGGGGGAGTATATTTACTGATAAAACTTGGATATGCGAGGCAGGCAAGAAACTGATGAATCTGGCTCCTACAGGAAAAGCAAAGATGTTAAGGAGGGCGCCCCACGGTCTCTCCAGCCATCACCCCTCACTGTCTTCATCCAGTTTTATCCTCTTACCCGGACAGTAAGGCCCCTTTCTCCATTCTCAAGGCGTCCGCCATGCCATGTGTCTGAAGCCCAACCTCTCCCCGCCACCCAGGATTCTGCTCTGTGGAATGGCCTCCATGTCCCTCCTCTTCTGAACCCCGAGACGTGCGGCCTTGCCTCGGCTCCGCCGGTCTCTAAAACCGTCCCCACTCCCAGCCTTCAAGGAACCCCGGGGTTCCGCCCACCCAGCTTCACCTCCCCCCCATCTTTCCTGGCGTCTCCGCCCCCTGCCCCGCCCCCGGGCCGGCTCTCGGAGGAGGGGGAGCTGCTGTCGCCGCCGCCGCCTCAGCTTCCCACAGCCGCCGCCGCTGCCGCCGCTCTGCTCGGTCCAGCCACCAGGCCCAGTGCTCTGACTTCGCCGGACCAGGGCCCTCTGCGGAGACACCCTCACTCCTTCCTGGGGGTCCGGGGCGCCTAGCCAGGCGTGGGGGGAAGCTCCGTTTGCGGGGGACAGGGAGGGAGGAGCCTGGAAGCGGAGCCAGCGCCACCCGTCGCCGGATCAACAAGACAGGACAGGTTGAGGGGCGTCGGGGAAGGAAGAGGGGGTGCTAGAGGCAGTCCCGGGGAGGACACGGAAACCCTGTCGCAGGAAGCTCTGATGCGCTCTGACTTGTAGGGGGCCCGTTCACATTTGGGGACCAGTGACAACGTGGGTGCGCTCCTCTCCTGGGGGGCTGGTTGGATTGGAGGGCGTGGGATCTAAACAGCACCAGCTGTCCCCAAGGAAATTAAGGGGCAACCAGGGGAAAAAATGCTCCTGATTTTGAGGTGACAGGGCTCTTCAGGCAACCACCTGGTGTATCCACTAGGAAGGGCGGATTTGGAGGTGACTTCAAAAGGAGTGGAGGGCGACAAGGTGAGAGAAGGGGCTCAGCAGCTGCTGCCTTGCGCCACTAGAAATGGGGATGACTTGGTGAGAAAAAGATTGTTTAGAGACTGGGTCTGGGAACCTCTTCTCACTGAATGGGGACAGTCTGGATATTCTGAGACAGTTTTTGGGTATTCAGTGGGGAAAAGTGGGGGATCCTTTTCACTTCGAGGTTGTCAAAGCAAAAGACACCACGGTTGGGTTCCTCCTTGACATTGGCTAATAAGGAGTGGGGTGAGCTCCTATCTTCTAAACTAAGGATCTACACCCTTCAGGTTCCCAAAAATAGGGTGGAGAGGTGCCTGGCTGTCTATATTGGAGTCACATCTTGGAAATTTTGAGGGTCCTAGCTTTTGGGTAGGGAGGTGGGAACAGGGACACTGGGGGACAGGAAAGGGGGGCTCCGCTAGGGAGCTAAAGTTGAGGGTGGGGTCACCTGAGAGGTACCTAGGCTGCTGGATCTGGTGGAGCTAGCAGGAGGCCCAAGGGTGGGAGTTGGCGAATGGGTGGGTGGGCCTGGGGCTTATCCTAAGGTTCTGTGGGTGGGGCAGCGAGCCAGACCTGAGCGTCAAGAGCATGCCCTGGTGAACGGGCTTCTCTGGGGGAGCCCAGCGCCCTCTGGGCGCCTGCCGGTTTGGGGGTGTCTCCTCCCGGGGCGCCATGGCGGCGCTGGCCAGTAGCTTGATCCGGCAGAAGCGGGAGGTCCGCGAACCTGGGGGCAGCCGGCCCGTGTCGGCGCAGCGGCGCGTGTGTCCCCGCGGCACCAAGTCCCTTTGCCAGAAGCAGCTCCTCATCCTGCTGTCCAAGGTGCGACTGTGCGGGGGGCGGCCCGCGCGGCCGGACCGTGGCCCGGGTGAGTGGCTGAGGCGGGGTCTCCGGGTCTGGGGGTCTCTGCCTGGGAGGCCGAGGACAAGGACTTTTGGGAGTCTGAAGAATAGAGCCCAGTTGGGGGCGGGGGGCGGCGGGGACTCCGCGAAAGTGAAAGGGGGTGGGTCAGGACGACAAAGTCTCCGCTAGTCTATGCCTCAGTTTCCCTTCTCTTTCGCCCATAACCCCTAGTCTCCTTGCTTTCGAGGGTAAAGGGAAGATTCGAGGGGCTAAGAGTGGCGCTCAGATGCCTGGCAGCTCCTCCACGCCCCCCACCCCCAACACTGGAGTCCCCACCCCCACCGTCCTCCGCCTACGTGCAGGCTCTCGCGATTCTTTCTTCCCGAGCCGAGGGGCCTGGGGGTTCCGGACGCCTGGGTCACCCGGAAGGTTTCTGCGGTCCGGCAGCCCCGCCCCCGCCTGGTTCTCCCGCTCCTCCACGCCTCGGCTTGGTTCCTCCCGGCCGAGCTCGTCTGGGTCCGCGCCAATCTCCCCAGCTCTCCCCCGGGTGTCCTTGCAGCTACCTTGCCAGCCCGCCCCTCTGTGTACCCTCCTCCCGTGACCAGCGCTTCTAGAAGGGCGCTGGGATCCCCCATTACCCCTCACATGACTCTGAAATCGGGCCCTACAAGCTCAGGGGACCCTCTGCCGGGAAGAACTCTGACACAGTTCACCACTGGAGACCCGCTGGGAGACTGGGGGGTTTGTACCACCTACATGGGAGTACAGGGAAGTCAGCCCAGAGCAAGCGACTGGGAGGGAGAGCTGTGAGGGTTAGTGTGTGGTCCCCGTCCAGGTACCATATGCAGGGAGTTCCTCTGGCCCGGCTCCCGCCCGCACCCAGCTCCCCAGGAGTGGCCCCCTCTTGTCCTCCCCCCTGCACCCCGCCACCGGCCCTCCATAGTGGTACAGTCCGCAGCCCACCCTTTGAGTGGGACCCGGCCCCCACGTGACTCAGCGGGTCTGTGCCATCTCCTAGGCCCCCTGCCCCCCTTTTCCTTGGTTTGATACCGAATGTCCCCCAACCCAGGCGGGTTACCTGGCCGAAGGGGAGAGGCTGAACCTCATGGAGGAGTGGGCCCTCTCGAGCCAGCAGACTGACAGACAGACAGATGGGTCAGTGTCAGACAGGCCGGCACTGGGCCAAAGCGAGGCCGCGCCAAGCAAGCAGCAGCCGCAGCAGCAGGTGCTGAGTCAGCGTCAGGCTCAGACCTACCCCCACTCCTGAGGGGGCGCCCTACCCGGTGGTCACCTAGCCTCCCTTACGTTGTCAAACACACTGTCCCTTCAGCATCCTGCCTGTTTCCCCTGTCCTCTGCCTTTTGATGTGTCTCTCTCCTTTCACTTCCCTTTTCTCCCCTCCCCCTCTGATTGAGCTGTAGAGTAGGAATTAAGTCATTTAAATAAATTTCAATAAATTAAGCTGAAAACTGGTGGTTAGAGGTAGCAGACAGAACCAACACCCCAGCTACCTCAGAAGTCAGAGGTGGGAAAGAGCTCACTTAAGAGGGTCAGGTAGCTAGGGTCCTGGGACCCTCTTCCCTCTGTTTTTTCTTTCCTCTGATTCTGCTAACTATGGGAATATTTCTGGCAACAGAGATGTCATTTTCAAAGATGAATGTCTCCCTTTCCAGAGCCTCAGCTCAAAGGCATCGTCACCAAACTGTTCTGCCGCCAGGGTTTCTACCTCCAGGCGAATCCTGACGGGAGCATCCAGGGCACCCCAGAGGACACCAGCTCTTTCAGTGAGAGGGGAAGCCAGCTGCTGGGTGGGAAGAGGGAGAATGGGGATAGAATACAATGACAGTCCTATTCCTTCTTCAGGGTTGTTTTCAGTTTGCCTCGTTGATTCCTAAGGCAGAAGTAGACCTGGGATGGTGGGAGCACAGATGGGGATTCTAGGTCTGGGGTACTGATGCCCCCTTTCTTCACCCCCAGCCCACTTCAACCTGATCCCTGTGGGGCTCCGTGTGGTCACCATCCAGAGTGCCAAGCTGGGTCACTACATGGCCATGAACGCTGAGGGGCTGCTCTACAGCTCGGTGAGACGAGGCTGAGTGGCCTGGGGTATCGGGGCTCCCCCAGCCACATCCATCTTAACTACAGATACAGGATATTGCAGCTCAGGCCTCTCCCTCCAACTCTAGCTGATGTCCTGTTATTACTGCTTACTGCAACCCCCAGCCCACTTCAACCTGATACCTGTGCAATCACCATGCAGAGTGCCAAGCTGGGTCACCACATGGCCATGAACTCTGAGGGTCTGCTCCACTTCTTACACAGTCCCCCAATACTCGTAGGCTCTTTGAATGTCCAATTCTTTCAATCCCTTGGGGTTCCTATTTCTCATCCTACTTCCATCAAACTTCCTTATTACTTCCCCAGAGTCATTCAGGATAGGGAATGTGAGAGTTGGGAGCAGAGTGAAGAGAAGTTAGCTTCTTATTCCACTGTCTCCAAAAGTCTAGTTCTAACCCTCAGGGGCCCCATCAGACTCTTCTTTCACCTCTCTCTCTCCTAGTTTCTGCATGGACTCAGAAGTTGACCCTCCCAGCCCCATATGTATCGATTAAATCCTGGCTTGTTATTCCCAGGGCTTCCTTCTGCCCAGTGATGTGTCTCTTGTCTCTTTGTCTATGTGTGCTTTTCTGGGTCTTTGTCTCCTCAGCCACATTTCACAGCTGAGTGTCGCTTTAAGGAGTGCGTCTTTGAAAATTACTATGTCCTGTATGCCTCTGCTCTCTACCGCCAGCGCCGTTCTGGCCGGGCCTGGTACCTAGGCCTGGACAAGGAGGGTCGAGTCATGAAGGGAAACCGAGTCAAAAAGACCAAGGCAGCTGCCCACTTTGTGCCCAAGCTCCTGGAGGGTAAGTATAAGTTCAAGAAAAGGTGGGCTCCATGGGAAGGTATTGACTTTGACATGGACATTTAGTCACACACAGCTCAGGGGCTACAAGTGTTTAAGAGGACACCTGCTATGACAGGTCAAGTCAGGAAGGCTTTGGCCTGTGGGGGTTTGGTTTGGGGAACTCTTTTCCTATGGGTTGGGGTTTCTAGATGATGCATATAGGGGTGGGTACCCTCTTAAGAGTTTTGATTCTGTCCAGGTCTCTCTGTGCCTAATTCTCCTTCCTTGCTCCTCTCTCTCCCCTTCACAGTGGCCATGTACCGGGAGCCTTCTCTCCACAGTGTCCCTGACACTTCCCCTTCCACGCCCCCTGCCCCTTGAAATGTACTCCCCGGACTGGAGGCTCCCTGCACTCGCACTGAGCCAGTCACCGCCACAGCCTGTCTCCCGGCCCTGCTCTCACCCCTGCTGCCAAACTCATGCCCTGAGCAGCCAAGTCCCACCAGGTGCTCAACCCTGAGGGAGCCTAGGGGCTGGCTGTGACTTCTAGGGCTGCTGAGACCTTTAGATCTTTGGGCCTGGGAGGGGGTCAGAGAGGGAGATATCTGTGAATGATCCTGGCTGATCACTTCTTTCCTTCCACACCCAAAGCCTTTTCCTGAGATGGCGCTGGGGGTTCCCAAATGGGCAGAATCAGGGTATAGATACTCCTGACTCTCGGCTCATCCAGTTCGGAGAGCCCAATATTCTTTTCATTGCCACTGAGCCATAGGTCCAATGGAGCTTAGGATTAATTTCTTTCTTTCCCTTTTCCACCTCTGCCTTGTTCTAGACAGGTTCTGGAACATCAGGCATCATAGCCAGGGTCATTTCTGCACTAGAGCTCTGTGCTCTAATGCAGGCATGCTGCCAGGCTCTGTTCTGGCTTCATCAGGCCTCTATCCTTGACCCAGATGGACCCCTGGTTTCCAAGTAAAGACAGACTGGATTTGAGCCCTATACAGCTATTGGCCTTGTCCTAAACTGGGGCCAGTCTCAGATTACCACAGGTTTAACTTTCTTATCCCAGAGACATCCAATTCCAGAGTATGGTGTTCTAGACACTTATGGAGCCATACTTCATTCTGAATCTCATCTCTCTAGGACAGAGACCATGACTCTCAGCCCTGCCCTCCAAGATGGAGCCTATATAGCCATATTGTTGCTCTAGAATAAATTCTAGATCCACCCTCCCACCTTCTCTAGTGTTACCTACTAAAAATGAGCTCTATAAAGGACTCAGTTATGATTCACAAAGAACTAAGTTCTGGATGAATCAAGAACCACTTCTTGTTTTTCCTAGATAATTTTCTAAAAATCTTACTCTTCCTATAGAATGTTAATCTTATTTTTACATGCAATTTTTAGCTCTTGCAACTCAGCTGAGGTTCTACCAGTGAAACAGAGTCTGAGGAAGGGTGGCAAAGTTTTGGAAGAAATCCAAAACAGGCTCATAGTATGGAAGCTGGGATGAGGATGGAGCTAAAATCACAGCATGACTGGATCTGTGCCTGGGTTGGGGGAATGTGAACACTTAGCTACCTCAGCAGGAAATTCTTCCAGGTCCCCTTTAAAGCTGAGGTCTTTAGGATAACAGGTCTAGAATAAAAGGGACAAACCGAGACACAGCCTTGACACCCCATCCCCCCACACCCCTCCCAATGAGGAGAACCCAATTCAGCAATAAGTCCCACCCCTTTCCCCCAGCAGGTCAGGCCAAGGAGGGTGAGGGCCTCTTGGACTCTAGACCTCATACATCCCAATAGTTTCAAATTGCTTTACCTTATCGCTTAGAACCTCAGCTGGGTTTAAGTACCCAAAATGGGCCTGATTAGATTTTTCTGGAAAACATGAAGAGCTAGGGCCAGGCCTGGGAAAGATCAGGGATAAACTAACGAACTAGGTGAGACTATGGAGCCTCTGGAAGGGTAAACTGAGGCGGTCTTAGGAGGGACTGGAACTCAGAGGCAGGCCAGTTTTCCTCAGGCTCTGTCTACTTCTGGCTCGTTGCAAGAGGGGTAGCTGTTCCCCTCGCCCACATAACCCCCGCTCAGGCTCCACCCATCTCCTGACTCTGCTCTCAGGGGACTGGGTCTCCACTTCATGCTTTCTCGATTAAAGACGATTTATACAACTGAAGTGTAGTCTTTGTCATCTGTTGGTGGTGGGCACTGGCAGTTTCTCAGGGCGGTACCAAGTCCCTGGGGCGGAGCGGGTGGCTTGGCGTCTGCCCCCCAACAACAGGTGCACATTCCTTAGAGGCTCGTCACTTCCCCTGGGTTAACTGTCCTGGCTGCTCATCCAGCGAATTCACTGAAAGACACGGCCAGGCTATGACCCCAGGGACGCTGCTGCTGCTGCTGCTGTTGCTGCTGGGGGCGCTACACACCCCGGGTAAGTCTGGGCCTCAAAGAGGCAGGGACAGGGCCCTGAGCTGCTGCCGGGCACCACGATTTCACTTAGTGCTCTCCTCTTCCAGGCGCCCGCGGCTCGGAAGCAGAGGGCCTCCTCCGCAAGAAGCTTTTCTCGGGCTATGATAGCTCGGTGAGGCCGGCGCGAGAAGTGGGAGACCGCGTCGGGGTCAGCATCGGTCTCAGTCTGGCGCAGCTCATCAGCCTGGTGAGCGCGCACGCAGCGGGTAGAGGTCCCGCGGGGAGCAGCTGGGGGGCGTGACTTTAGGCCTGCCAGACCCGGAGACGGCTGGGGGCGCGGTCAGGCTGAGTTAGCAGAAATTGTTCTGAAATGTCCGACCAATGGACGAGCTGCGGGGAGTGGCTACTGGATAGGTCAGGGGCAGAGCCGGGAGGGTGAGGACAGCCTGTGGGCGGGCCTCCAAGTGGAACAGGGAGCCACAGACTGGCGGGCGGGCCTTGGGGGCGGGGGAGGAAATCAAAGCTTGGGGCGGACCTTAATGCCAGACCCGGTCCTTAGGCGGCAGCGTGCGGGGATTTAGGGTTCGGCGTAAAACGAACTGGTACTGGTGCCCGGTACTAAGCTTGGCGTAGGGTCGACCAAAGACCAGAGCAGTAGAATTGATTGGCAGTAACTGTATAGCGAGCATGAAATTGCTGAGATAGAGGCGGGGCTTAACTTAAGGCAGCTCTTAGGGGGCGGGGCTTGCTTCTAAGAAAGGGGGAACTCAGATAAAGCCAGGAGTTTCCAAGGAAAGCTTGACTCGACTAGCTCCCCCTTATTTCTTTCCACTCACATCACTTCTAAACTTTTATTTTTTAGAACGAGAAAGATGAGGAGATGAGCACAAAGGTGTACTTAGACTTGGTACGGAGACCTCCTGGGTGGGAAAGGGCCTCCCTCTGCTTTTACAATTCCCTCTAATGTCCGACCTAGTAAAACAAGATCTGTATACACACAAATACACACACATATGTGCATCAGGACCTCAAAAAATAGTTTTATAACTGAAACAGAAGCTTCAGGAGACAATTCCTATCTTCATTCAAATTTAATTCTAATTTTGTAAAATAACAGCAAAAAAAAAAAAAACACTGGTCTGTGGTTACTAATTTGATTCGCAAATTGCAGTTTGAAAAAAAAATCCTTTCAGGGGATAGTTAGTGCAGTCACCTCACTTTTACAGACTAAAAAAAATGGGTCCGATGTGAGGGAAGGAGAAATAGCGTTGATGGGGTCCCATAAAGTGCAGGTAGAGCTGGACTCAATCAGAACCTCGGACTTATGCCCTCCCTGATGCTCCCTTTCGGGATCTTAAGTCTCCCAGCTTTCAGCCCCGGACAGCCCCCTCAGCTTCTCCTCCCCTAGGAATGGAAAGACTACAGGCTGAGCTGGGACCCCACAGAGCACGAAGACATCGAGTCACTGCGCATCGCCGCCGAGTCTGTGTGGCTTCCGGACGTAGTGCTCCTAAACAAGTAGAGTCTTCCCAAACCCTGGGGGATGGGGCGGGGCCGCCGGTGGGCGGGGCCTAGTCCCAGATGAGAAGATTCCTTCCCTGCAGCAATGATGGAAATTTTGACGTCGCGCTGGATATTAACGTCGTGGTGTCCTCTGACGGCTCCGTGCGCTGGCAGCCCCCGGGCATCTATCGTAGCAGTTGCAGCATTCAGGTTTCTGGGCTCCGCCTGGGAAGCTAACGGCGTTCTTAGGAACCTCCCTCCCGTCGGAAATCCGGAGTCCCCAGCTACTACCAGCCCTCCTGTTTTCTCCCCATGCGTTGCGTATCTTTTGTCCCTCCTTCCCTCCTCTATTTTCCGTTGAGTTTCATTTCTCTGTACACTTTCATTGACTTCCTGTCTTTCTAAGTGACCCCCACCATTTTCTATGGCCACCGCTGGTACTCTCTGACCACTACCTGCCCTGTGACCTACCCAGTGACTCCCAAATTCCCCCAGCCCCCTCCACTTGTAACAGTCCTAGTAACTCTCCTCTCCATCCAGGTCACCTACTTCCCCTTCGACTGGCAGAACTGCACCATGGTGTTCAGCTCCTATAGCTATGACAGCTCAGAGGTCAGCCTGCAGACTGGCTTGGGTCCTGATGGGCAGGAGAGGCAGGAAGTGCACATTCATGAAGGGACCTTCATTGGTGAGTGGGCATGGGCCGTTTTCCCATGTTGTTCTCCCACCCCCAGCTTCTGAGAGACTGATAAATATACTCTGTCAGCAATGTCCAATACAACCTTGCAGGGTCAGCAAGATAGGTATGACTGTCTACCATTCACAGATATGGAAACTGAAACTCACTCACTCAAGTTTATTAAAGATGGCTGCATAGCCCAGAGTTCACAATTAGCCCCTTATTGCAGAATCCTCTTCTACTCTAAGATGTTGCAGGAAAGGTCCTATAACTGTGTCCCTTTGTTTTCACACCCCTCCCCACCCCCAAGAGAATGGCCAATGGGAGATTATCCACAAACCTTCTCGGCTAATCCAGCCTCCAATGGATCCTAGGGGAGGTGGGGAAGGACGGCATCGTCAAGAAGTCATCTTCTACCTTATCATTCGCCGGAAGCCTCTCTTCTACCTGGTCAATGTTATTGCCCCATGCATCCTCATCACTCTCTTGGCGATCTTTGTCTTCTACCTTCCACCAGATGCAGGTGAGGGAAAAGGAACCCCGACCTCTTTCTTATCAATAACTGACAATCTTCCTCTTTAACCTTAATCCAGGCTATTTCCTGCCAATCCAAACCATTATGGGTTGTACTTCAGTAATCCCACCCAGGTTTTCCCTTCAAACAGAACCTGGCCTACGTCCAGGTTTTCCTCAAACCTCAGGCTCTGCTTCCCCTCTGCTGCCCACCTCTGTCCACCCAGTAACTTCTGTATGCTTGCCTTCAGAATCCTAGGCTTTTGTCCTTGGACTCTCTACTCATCAACAAATCCTGAACTTAGACAACTCTCTCATTCCCAATCCTTGCATCTTCCCTCTTTGACTTTCCAGATACCCATAGTCGGCTTACCTTCTATATCTCTGAGAAGTGATAGCTAACATCTCTACAGGAGGCAGCATAATGTAAGAACAGGGTTTCCTTGCACAAATCCCTCAACCTTTATATGCCTCAGTTTTCTTACTTGTAAATTGAGGCAACTTGTATTGTCACTATGACATAGGATTATTTTGAAGATTAAATAGATCCTCACTAGATCAAAGCCCAGTACCCAGTAAATTCTATTTAAGTGTCTTTGCTACTTTTGAGCATTTAATTTAAGGTAACACAATGAACATGTAATATATTCATTTAATTCTAATCTTTACAACAGCTGTGTGAGTTAAGTTTCTGAACTGTCTTCCTATTTTACGCAGGAAGATAAAGAGATGGAGCATTTAGGACATTTGCCTGACATCACACAGTCAGAGAGAGATAGTGTTGCTATTCCAACCCTAGTTAGTGTTAGTGTGATCAAGACCAGCCATCCTTAATTGTGGTATTCCAACATGCTTTCCTTATCTTAGGTGTCAAGTCCTCTATCTAAGGGAAGAGATGATGCAGCTCTAGAACATACTTCCAAATGTAACTTCTGCTTCCTTCTAGAGCAGAGAAAACCTTGGAACCCAGTATTACAGTACTAAAGGAGAACAGACCACACAGTTATTTCCTTCAGTGCTTTCCATGAAGTTTGCAGTGCCGCTTATTTTATGCCAGAGGAAGAATCAGCCAAGGGCTTATCCTTACATACAGTGTTTCATTTTCAGAGCCTTCAAACTGCTATATAGTTCCTGTAACAAGAGTTTGTTCATTCATGCAACAATATTTATTAAGTATCTAGAGTGTAATGCACTGGAGACTGGGTCTACATCAATGAATAAAAGAACAAGATTCCTGCCCTTTTTGATTTTATATTCTAGCAGGGGCAAGAGTCAATAAACTCAATAAATAAATATTATATTTGATGAAGATAAGATCTGAGGAGGAAAATCAAGTAGGAAAAGGAATTGGAGAAGATAAGAATGGATGTAGGGGTTAAAATTTAAAAATAGAATAGGGTTAGGGCAAGCTAATTTGGCCTGAGAGTGGCCTTAGGGGTGGGTGTGATACTTGTATGACTTAGGTCTCATAAAAAAAAAATAGCATAGTTTTTACATGCTTCATTAAACAGGGAATATTGGTCAGTATTTAAACAAAGATGTGAAGAAGGTGAGAGAATGAACCTGGCAGATATTTGAAGGGATAATGTACCAGAAGTTTGCAGTGAATGCAAAGGCACTGAGTTGGGAATGTGCCTTGCATATTCAAGAAATAGCCAATAAAACTGAATGAAATAAGCAAGAAGTAAATAGAAGGTATGAAGTCAGAGAGCTAATGGGGCCATAGCTTGTAGACGATGGTAAGGACTTAGGCTTTATGCGGAAGATGGAAAGCCACTGCAAGGTTTTGAGGAGTGATATGATATGCTTTACATTTTAATAGGATCAATCTGGCTACTCTGTAGAGAAGAGTCAGCAAGAGAGCAAAGGATGAAGCAAATAGCAGGCTTTTATAATAATTCAGGCCTGAGGTAATAGTTACTTGAATCAGGGCGAGAGTGGGAGATGTGATAAGTCATAATTTTTCAGGATATATTTTGAAGGTAGAGCCAATAAGATGTTCATGGATTGGATATGAGATGAGACAGAGAAAATTGAGGATGACTCAGTGGATTCTGGCCTGAGCCACAGGAAAGATGGAGTTGTCATTTATGAACTGAGAAAAACTATGGGAAGAGTTGGGGGTGAGGAAAGTAGGCCATCCAAATGGAGAGTTTAAGTAGCAGGTCCATAAGAAGCTGGAATTCAAGGTAATAAGACAAGGTTGGAGAGAAACACAAATACAAGAATCATTTGCATGTAGTTGGTCCTTCTAAAAATCTGTCCTTTAGTAGGTTACTGATTATGTCCTGAGACTGCCTTATAACAAGCCTAATCCTGCCTTTCCCTCTGCCCCTGAAGGAGAGAAGATGGGGCTTTCCATCTTTGCCTTGCTGACCCTTACTGTGTTCCTGCTGCTGCTGGCAGACAAAGTGCCTGAGACCTCCCTAGCAGTCCCCATTATTATCAAGTACCTCATGTTTACCATGGTCCTCGTCACCTTCTCAGTCATCCTTAGTGTTGTAGTCCTCAACCTGCACCACCGCTCACCCCACACCCACCAGATGCCCCTTTGGGTCCGACAGGTAAGATTGCTTCCTCTAACCTGTGTTCTCAACCTTAGTATTTGGCTGAGGGAAATATCACTCTTCCCTCCCACCAATTTTAACCTTTCTTTTCACAGACCTGAGGGAGAACTACAAGTCCCTGTAGATTATTGAATCTCCAAAGCCTGTTAAGTTTTGAAATGTTGTACAATTTTACTCTTTTCATCATTGTGATTTCTTAGGCCCCATATTGAGTTTCATCAATATTACCTAGCCTGGGTCCCAGGAAACATTCTCATGGTGGAAATCCTCAGGACTTCTTTTTTCAATTAGGCTACCTCCTCCTTACCTACTTAAGAGCTCTTAAGGCTGTGTGGGTACATGTCCTTGTCCCTGTAGCTCTGTGGGACATATGCATTCCCCCGCAAAAATGAGCACGTGGTGTTGGGGTGGTTGTTACCTACCTTATGACTTGACAGCATATGACCCCCTGCAACACCGTTTTTTCTACTTTGCAGATCTTTATCCACAAGCTCCCTCTGTACCTGGGTCTGAAGAGGCCCAAACCTGAGAGAGACCAGATGATGGAGCCACCACCTCTAGCTCTCAGGGATTCTCTAGGAAGTGGCTGGGGTCGGGGAACAGATGAATATTTCATCCGGAAGCCACCGAGTGATTTTCTGTTCCCCAAACCCAGCAGGTACCTGCATCCCATAGCCCACCTAGGAGAGAGGGAGAACTACAACTCCCAGCAGACTGCTGAGGCAGGAGGCTTCATCTCCCGGAAGATGCTGTAGTTGAGCATCATGGGAGTTGTAGTATTCCTTATGCTGATCACTTTGCCGGAAGGTGGGCGCTAAAACGTGTATGAATGGGAAGAGTTGCAGACGGCTGTAGAGATCACCGCTGGTGCGGACAACCTCTCAGGCTTTGAAAATTTGTCAGGGTGATGGAGGAGGGAGTTGGGACAGGGCCTAGAGCAGTGATGAAAACTGTGTCTCTTCTCCTGGGTCATGGCCGAATAGTCACGCCTCTTCCAGGTTCCAGCCTGAACTCTCTGCCCCAGACCTGAAGCGGTTTTTCGACGGCCCAAACCGGGCTGTGGGCCTGCCTCCTGAGCTACGGGAAGTCGTTTCCTCCATCAACTACATCGCTCGACAGTTGCAGGAACAGGAGGATCACGACGCGGTGAGTCTGGAGCGCGCAGCCGGGCAGAGCCTCCTGCAAACTCTGTCTCCTCCCCTAAGCATTGGGCTTTATCCCTGACTGGAAGTTTGCTTTATTTGGTCCCGCCCCGTGCTTTCCAACTGGCTAGTCAGTTCCATCCATCTACGGCAGTTTGGCTCCGGTCTGTTCTGCAGCCCACCCCTGCGGTAGAACTGTGGTTAGAGGACCTGGACAGAGTACAGGGTTGGGGGGTGCGGTGGGGGCACCGCCTTCCCCGGGTGTCTGAGCTCAGGAAGTTTCCTCTGCCTATCCCTACCCAGCTGAAGGAAGACTGGCAGTTTGTGGCGATGGTAGTGGACCGCCTCTTCCTGTGGACCTTCATTATCTTCACCAGTGTTGGGACCCTAGTCATCTTCCTGGATGCAACATACCACTTGCCCCCCGCTGACCCCTTTCCCTGAGGACCAGAGAGAGAGAGAGACCCACGCTCTGGTCAGTTGAGTGGAGTTGGGCAGTACTCTCAAGTGCTATTCCTTTCTGCCTATACTTCTTCTCTAGGAATCCCATCCCCTCCACACTGCCTTTCAGGGAGGGCATGTGAGTGGGGGTCTTGGGCCCACCTGAAATACACACTATGAGCTTATTTACTCTTTGGCTTTTTAAAAGAAGCTCTTTTGGATATCAACACTTAAATCTCCAATGAAATATAACAAAGAACAACTAAGCCTTAGGAAGGCAGGAACTGTGTCATGTTCACTGTAACATCACTGACGCTACTATAGGCCCTGAACTAGAAATGTTTCGCACTAGCTGAATCACAGGGCAAAAGTGTTCTCCCTCCACCCTGAGTTAATAATGCTATATTTGCATGTTGGGACGAGTTATGTTTTCCCCCTCCTTTTTTTACCTTTCCATAATAATGTGATGTTTTGTGATGAGTATTACTTTAGGATAAAAAAGGTCATTTCTAAAAGGATGTATTTGTAATGAGATGGGGGAGGAAGCACATTTTAAAAACCTCCATTCAAGTTCCAGCTTTGGTGCTCACACTTTGGGCAAGTCACTAAACTCCACTGTGCCTATGTGTCCACATCTGTAAGTGAAGCTACTTAGTCTGAAGATTGTGTGAAAATATGGGGCAAGTGCTATGAAGTTTTTATCAAAGGTTGCAAACTAGTATTTTTTGACAAGTTATTGGCTTGCAGTTTTTTCGATTTGAGTTAGTTCACTACTTTAAAAAACTGGATATTTCACAGAGAAATCTGGATTTCTTTTCTCAATAAATTCCAAAAACTTCAGCAACACTGGGTCCGATTCCCTGTTGGCAGTAAAGCACTAGAGCTGATTAGTGGCTGCCCACTCTTGTTAGGGTGTTTATGCCAGAATTTCTCTAAGCTCCCATCTACTGACATTTTATCTGCTCATCCATAACACCAGAGAAAATACAGGGAAGAGGGGCCAGGTTTTGAAACCAAAGCGGGGGCTGGGAATAGAAAAAGAAAGGTCACTGTGTCCACTCTGGCTATCACATGTTTTATGCCTCAGTTTCCCTTCAGTTTGAAGAAAAGGTTGCACTTCGTTTAAAGCAGTCTTTCTGGGACAGAGCTCTTGTGCCCAGCGGCCTCTATGTACTGGACTGTTAATGTTTCTGTCTAGAGGTCACACTAAAGTCAGCTTGAGCCCAGTGGCTGCAGCAGTTAAAGTGAAGTAGGATTAACCAGGTCTCACACCTAGTCAATTTTTAGAAGTAGTTGTTCTAAGAGGGAGAATAGGGCTACCATCCCAGGGATCCCTATGGGCCAAGGTTAGCATATCCCTGGTAAGCCAGACCCACCAGCCACGCAAATAATTGCACCTGGCATCCCACTGCGGAGCATGGTTCGTTTGTCTTGTTGGTTTATTGGCCTAGAGTTGGACACACACACAAATGCTGAGATAAATATTGGTCAGTTTCTCTAAATCTGGGTCCTCACTACATATAGAGCTAGAGTCTGTAGAATTCTAAATCTTGCGTGCTGTGGCACAGAACCAGTGGCTTTCCCACTCCACCCTCACCCTTTCTCCCAGGGAACATGGGGAAACAGGGCACTAACTGACAAGACTTGCTAGTTTTCCAAAGACAAAATCGCAAAATCCCAAATTCCTAACATGTGAAATCCACAATATTCAAGTCCCCCAGTTCAAATACATATATTTTAATCTCCATTTTGCCACAATCTCATTTGTTGCCCAGAACCACCAAATTCCAGAAACTATTTTCCTAAATCATATTTTCAAAAAAAATAAATGTCTACTATCTCAGTTCTCCCAAAATGTCCATGGTTTTGGAATTTTTACCTGTTCTGAAATTCAAATTTCCCACTCCATCCTCAACCCCTTCCATCTTCTGTGCCATGTTGCCTCAGACGATGCAGGGTAAGGATGTAAGCGGCCTGTCATCACATCTGCCCCCTGCCCTAGGTCTCTCTTGTGGTTCCGCTGTGTATATATATATATAATTTGTGTGTAGATATATATATGTATTCTTTATTATGTATTTTTTCGCAGTTTTTCTAAAGTGCCAGAAACAAGATTTGTGGGAATTTTTTAGTGATCTTTTTTTGCATTTTCCCCATTTTAAACTTTTTCCCCCTTAAAAATTGGAACTTGGTACATTCAGTAGGAAACTCTTCACTCGGACTGTGGCCAAGACCAAGAAAAGTGCAAAGAGACAGAGGAGGAGTGAAGGACAACACTCCTCCGTGGTTAACATTCAGGGAGTCTGTCAGAAACCTCCCCCTTCCTATATGCTGGCAGGGTAAGACAGGAGGATGCTCCTGTCCCTCCCCCCAAACTCACCTCCCTCCAAAAGCCATGATCTTGTCCTCTTGGCATCTGTGAAGAGGACAGCCATCTTGGCCCCAGAAAACAGTAGCTGGGGAAAAGGCTGCCATTTGAGGACAGCAACTCTTCCCCTTTTAAAACTGTACTCCTCTAATTCCCATTTATTAAATTTGCTGCCCCAAACTGGCTCTCCCCTAGTGAGCTGTTTTTTGTTTGTTTGTTTGTTGAGTGGGGGAGGTGGGTGGGATGGGAAATGTTCATCCAATCACAGAGTGAGGAGGCCCAGTTATCAAAGAGAATTAGGAGCAAACATTTCATTATCTCCCCCACTGGAAGGAAACATAGTATGGACCCCTGACCAGGGTTAACTAGTGCAAATTAGGGATTAGGGACTATTTAAGGTCCCTGCACCCCATCCCTAGGCTGGGATCTTTGGGTGTGGGGAACTGAGTCAAAGATGGGGTGTAAGGTGCTATTTTGGAGGGAAAGTTGGTGGGGATACCCCAAAGCCCACCAAGGGAGTAGGATGGTTCTCTAAAACCATCTGGAGTGATTGGTAAGGGGAGCAGTACTGGGGAAGATGGGGTTAAAGGTAAGGATGGGAGGTCATGTGCAAATCTTGGGCTTACCCACCCATCCATCCCCCATCATTTTTCTGGCTTTTTGGTCTAGTCTGGGAGAAACCATCAGGAAAAAAACTGGGAGAAAGTAGATTCCCTTCTCCATCCCATATGGAGCTCCTCCCTCCTGGCCCCCAAATCTGGTTTAGCCCAGAAGAGGCCATACGTAGAGGCAGGAAGAGGTATGATCTGCTCACCTCTTGCCGTGGAAGAATCTGGGGCTCACTGGATTTGGGAGTCAAGATAGGGCCAAGATTGGTGCTGCCCTGGATTGGGAAAGTGCTCAACCATGAAACAGACGCATAGCCCTCCCCCCAATACCTCCTTGACCTGGACTGGGAGAAGCCATCTCCAGAATCTGGGAGTATGAGGAGGAATATGGAAGATCCAAAGGCATGGAAGTCAAGGAAGGCATAGCATCTTAACATGAAGCAAACAGGGACACAGAAACCCACCCTTGGGAAGAATGGAGTCTGAGGCCACTCCTCCAGATCGAATGGGCATCAGGTATCACAATGGTCTGGTCCAGGCCCTGGGCCACAAAGAATGGAATGTGCTAGGAAGCATCTGGGGAAAAGCTTAGAGAAAGCTTCAGTACGAGGGTTGTCATTAGGTGAGAGAGATGGTTTCCCCCTAGGTTTACGAATCAGGGGGGCAGGTTAGACATTCAGAGCTGGTGGGGGCCATGAGTAGAGATTCGTATATGTATATTGCTCAGTTGCCCCGAGGGCTAGAGAAGGGATGGGAGCTGGCCCTGCCCCTCACAGAGGCCATTCCCTGGAGGAGAACTGAGAGGGGAATCACCTACGATCCCTTCCCAGGAGATGGGAAAACTACAATCTCACACAAAGCAGCCTGACCCCTGAGCTCCAGGGGCCCCCGAGCCCCTGCACAAAGTGTGGAGGGGCTCCCAAGGGGCAGGGAAGCCAGGGAGCTAGTAGTGGCGGGGGGGTTCAGGGAGGGTGGCATCTGGTGAAAGGGGGAATCTGGGCCCAGAGTTCACCCCACATCTCCCTTCTGGGTTCTCTCAACCCCTGCCCTTTCCCCTTCTCCCTTCGGGGGTACTGGTGGAGGAAGAGTTGCGGGGGGTGGAGTTGGGGGGTTTGGGGGTGCTGCTTGAGGATTGACTGCGTAGCCAAAGACCCCTGGTAGGAAGGGAAGGGTTCCCCCACCCTTCTCATCGGGTAGGACCATGTTTAGAGCAACAGGGAGAGCGGCCAGGTTGCTGAAGTTGTAAGGATAGGCGGCGAGAAGCTGCGGGCCATAGACTAGTGGGTAGGGCTCCGGATAGAAGGTGACTTTGGCAGCCCCCATCCCTTCCATCCGGTCCCCATCCCCAGCCCCCACTGGCCCCTCATTCCCAGGTTTCCCCCTGCCACTGCCAGGTTCCCGGCTGCCCCCAATCAGGGCCAGTGGAAATTCCTGTACAGGCGGGTATGCGTAGGTGCCCCCTCCTGCTACCACTGGGGGCTCCTCACCCCCAGAGATGACAGGGTCCTGGAGTGAGGCTGTCTCAGAAGCTTCCTCGGCAGCAGCGCTCCCGCCACCTGCCTCCCCGCTGGATGAAGAGACTTGCATCTCTTGGGGGGCTTCCTCCTTGACATCCCCAGGTCTGGTGCCAGAGCTGCCTTTAGAATAGGCAATGACAGGTGTGGGGGTGCCCCCAGGCCGCTCGGCAGCGTGCCTCTGCCCATGGCGGCTCAGGGCAGCTGCCGTCTTGCACACTTTGGCGCAGTGAGGGCAGGCGAAGCGGGTGGAAGGCCTTCGTCCAGCCCGGGAGCTGTGGGAGCCCCCGCTGTGGGCCTCCTGGTGCTTTCGCAGCTTCCTTAGGGTGGTGAATGCCTGGGCACAGTCTCCGCAGCGGTGCCTCCGCTCCCCACGGGTACGACCTGCCGGGCCGTCAGCAGCTGGGGTCTCCTCCCAGCTCCTCCGTTCCAGCTTCTGTTTCCAGCGTTGAGGCCGGCGGCTCCTGGGCACCCCGCCGCCCCCGCTGCTGCCAGTGCCGGCAGCGCCAACCTTGCGCTTGGGCTTGTATGAGTAGTAGGGCCTCCAGAGCTGATCCTCCCCACCAGCCTTTGACTCCTCCTCTTCTTCGTCCTCCTCCTCCTCCTCTTCTTCATCCTCCTCCTCGCTCTCTTCCACCTCCTCTCCACTTAGCTCCCCAGGACGTAGGTCAGTTTCTGAGATGCGGCGCTTGACAATGGCCTCCTCGCCAATTCGCACAGTGATCTGACACAGTGGAGGTGGAGCCTGCAGCTGAGAGGGGCCCCGGCCAGGCCCTGCAGGGGGGCCCCCATTCCCCCCAATACCACCAACTGGCTTGGCGGTGTAAGTCAGAGTCCTTCCAGCCCGGGGGTTCCGGCCTTTGGCCTCCTCTGTGGCTGTAGCAGGCCCTGCAGCCGTTGCTGGGCTGTCCATTGTGGCAGGGCTGGCTGGTGTAGCTGCAGGCGCAGGGGGAGGAGGGGGGTACTCACGTTTTTTGGGGGGCCTTGGGGGAGCAGTATAAGTGATGACTGAGGCGGCTTGGGCCCCTCCTGTGCTGGCTGGCCCACCCCCTGCTCCACCACTGCTGCTGCCACCATGAACAATAACAGAGGGAGCTGGGTGGGCAAAAGTGATGACGGAGGGTGGGGGGCCAGGCTCTGGGGCAGGTGGGGGTCCTGGTGGTGGGCTGGTCGGCATTGCTGCAGGGGCCGGCGTGGTGAGGCTTGGCGAAAGAGGGGCCTCAGGTGCTCCTTGGCTGTAGGTCTTGTAGGGCCTTTTGGCTGCTCGCATGGGGAGCAGGCGGTACAGCTTGAGGGTATTGAGCTTGGGCTTGTAGCCTCCGTTGGGTGTCTTCTCACTGGCTAGCAGGCCCGGGCTAATGCCATGGAAGGCTCGCTGGTGGGTCTTCAGGTTATAGTAAGTGACAAAGGTCTCCCAGCAGAAGATGCACTGGTACCTGGGCCAGGACAGCAGGGAACAAGGCAGGGGCAGAGCCCCTGAGTCGGGCACTGAAGCCAGGGCCTCGATTGCCCACGTCCTCTCCTGCCCTCCTCAGACCGCGGAGTCCCCTAGCCGATGGCTCACCCTCCTTGCATGCTGTGTGTCTCACCCCCCAGCCCCAGAAGGGGCACTAGTCCACGCTGGCTGTGAGGCCGCTGCTGTTCCATTTATGAACTGGAAATAATCACACACCTCATCTAACTCACAAAGGCTTCTTTCAAATGACAGGATGGGGAAACAGCTTATGGACAGGGACACATAATGGAGATACATATGACTACTGGTAGACATGCCTCTGCTCCCCACAGGCTTCCCAACAAGGGCAACTTTCTCATCAGCCTGTTCCGCATAATAAACATCAGTGGCGGGAACTGGACCTAGCGAGAATGGTGATTCATGGGTGGCAGGGGCCAGTGGGTAAGTCAGCATCTCAGCATGACTTGGTGCATTCCCTCATTTGTCTACGGGGTGGCCCTTGAGTGCTGACCCTTGACACTCTGCCCTGCCCACACCCCCAATCTCTGGACTCCCAGAGCACTCACCTGCGCTCCCCGGTGTGCCACACCTCGTGCTTGGTGCGATACTCGGCCAGGGCAAACACCTTCTCACAGTAGCGGCAGGGGTACTTCCTCCGCCATGAGTGTACATTGCTGTGCCGCTTCAGGCTGGACAGGGTCACGTAGGAACGCTCACAGGCCGCACACACATATAGCACATGGCCGCCCACCACCTTCACCACATGCTCAGGGCCACCACGGAAGCCCACTGGTGGTGGCAGGGCTGAGGCATCCACTCCTGCAGGACCACTGGGAACAGAACCCCCAGCTCCCAGCCCTGTAGGCCCCCGACTGCCAGCCCCCCGTCGGCACTGAGCCTCATGGGTCTGCAGTCGCTTGGGATGAATGAAGCTTTTCCCACATCGAGGGCAGGGGAGGGACCGCCGGGCCAGGGCGGGCTGTGAATCAGGGGCCTGGGCCTCAGCCCTGTCCCCCTCCCATTCTCCAACGGGCCTTGGCCCAGGCCCGAAGCTGCCCTCTTCAGACTGCGAAGTGGCCATGGGGGCTGGGCCGGGAGGAGCCCAGGCATCACCTCCCTCCCCCAGGCCCTGCAGGCGGGAGATGCCCAGACGCCGCCCCAGAGCTCCGATCTCTGCTACCGCCGCCCCATCTCCCCCACCACCAGGAAGTGCAAGCCGGGCACTGTAGATGAAATTAAGGACATCAGAGAAGGCAGCTGCTGGGACCCCTGGCAGCTCCAGGACCCGAGGTGGGGATGAAGTGGGGGGTGAGGCTGGAGGGGGAGAGGAGGAAGAGGAAGTAGAGGAAGAGGAGGAGGCAGCGGTAGTAGTAGCAGGGTTGGAGGTTAACCCCCCGGTAACTGGAGGGAGGGGAAGTGGAGCTGAAGCCAGCAGGGCCTCTCTGAAGAAAGGACTAGAAGCAGCCAGGACGCTGCGATGAGCAGGGAACTTGGTGTCTCCAGCTATGAGGGTGACGTCACAGAAGAGGCCACGGAGTCGCTGCTCATTGAGCTGGCGCAGGACAGCAGGGGCATGGGACGGGTCCGTCACCTCTGCAGGAGGGGGCATGGCGCCAGCCTAGATAAAGGGGAAGAGGCAAAGGGGAGGGTCTCAGAGACTGAGACAGGAAGGGACCTCTGACATTGGGAGATGAGCTGAGGGTGGTAGTCAGAGGTTGCTGGTCAGACACTAGGGACAGCTGACTAACTTCTGGTCTCAGAAGTCAGGGGTTAATCTTAGCCACTCAAGTCTGACCAGAGCCCCAGCACCCAACACCAGCATGTCAAACACTGGACTGGAAAAGATCAGCAATACTTCAAGTCATGATAAAGGTCAAGGGGTCAAACCCTTCAAAATCATAGGCTAGAGAGGCAAGCGATAGACACCTCTTTCCCTTTGGGAGTAGGAGGAAGCCTCCTCAAGTACTGACAACGTCACAGAACTCCTAGTCTGGACAAAATGGCTTCCCTTGGACCTCCCTGGTGGTGCAGCGGGTTAAAGCACAGCTCTGCAGCTGACCACATCCACTTCAGCATGAGTTCCATCTGTGCGGCAGACCTCTCCTGTCCCGCCCGCTGCTCCCCTCAGCAGTGTACTTTGTCAGTCTGCCTGTTCTGCTCGCCACTCTGTCCCTGGTGAATCCTGCACCTCTGGCCCGTACCCCAGTTCTATATGCACAAATAAGTAAATAAATATATTTAAAAATGCCTGCCCTTGTTGGCCTGCGCCTTAGTTATTCTTCCCCTAGCTGCACACCTGTGTCCGCTCACCTGAGAGCACAGCCAACATGGAGCGGAGTGGGGGTGGCTCAGCAAGTCCCTGCTGCCTGGTCTCTTCCTTCTGTGGAGAAACAGAAACTGTCCTCAGAAGGGAACTGGGAAGGAAAGGGCCCCAGGAGGTGGGGGGTGGTGCAGTGTCTGGGGTGAGAGATGACTGGCCCCTAACCTGACCCTCCCAGCACCTCTCTGCAGACCCTGACCCTCCCAGGAGCTTCTGTCAGGCTGCTAGATTAGGCTGCGACCCACTGAATCTAGGTGGTCACACAGTTACTGCAAAGCCTTGTTATGCAGGCTCCCTACCCCAGAACACAGTAATTTGCGTATTTCCAATTCACCTCAAAATAACACAGCAGAGTAAGTTGAATCCCATACATCCAGAGAAGCCTGTTGGATCACCCTCAAATCCCTTCTGCCCAATCTTGGAAGCTCAAAGGAAATCAAAGATTTGCATGTTGTCTTTCGTTACATTATTCATTTACATATCAAAATAGATTTGCTGGCGCTTTTCTACAGGACCATGCTGCTATTCAAATTGGGAGAGGCCCTCACACCCCAAAATCTTAGAGGGGGGGTGTGCCAGGTGACCACCAAAGACTACAGAGTCATGCCCATGTGCCCCCTTGTTCCAGTCTCTGGAGGGCACTGGAAAGTCCACAAGACTTAGTGAGGAGGGGTGCGAAGCACAATCTCTATCTCACTTCCTGGGAGGTTCAGCCAAAAGGAACAGCAGGCAACCCAAATGCAGCTGTGGTGGTCACTGTGCTGAAAGCACCTCCTTGCTGCTTCCCCTCTGGGCAGTCAGGGCTTATTTTTCAGCTGAAGATCTGAGTTCCAGAGTCATACAGGGATTTAGCCAAAATCACACAAAGCTGCTAATAATAGGCAAGTCCTATCCACAGAGCCAGGCCTCGCTTGTTTGCTCCAAAGCCTATGTTCCTAATGAATATACCGCATTAACATGAAGGGCACATTTAAGATGAAGTTACACATTAATCTCCATTCACGTTCTCGACAGAGCTTCTAAAAATCTTAGTATTTCCCAAGTGGAGGGGTGTAAGCAGCATTCTTTGACCCCAGTTCCTGACACAGAGCTTCTAAGTCCCTTGGAATTCCATGGGTGATAGGAGTGGCTTTTGTTCTAATGGGCTCCTGCACAACTTCAGAACAGGAGCTGGTCACCAGAAAGACCAAGCCATGATAAGAAGCTTGAACTTTCAGCCCCACCCCCATCCTCCCAGGGAGAGGACCTGGAGTTTGAGTGAATAATTGACTATGCCTACGTGATGAAGCCTCCATAAAAATCCCTAAACTATAAGATTTCGAGTGCCTCCAGGTTGGAAAACATGTCCACACACCAGAAGAGGGATACCTCAGCTCCATGAAGACATTTTTGTCCTCAGTATACTTCCAGACCTTATCCTATGTACTTATTCCCCGGTTGTTCATCTGTTTCTTTCTTTTTTTTTTTTTTTTAAGACTTATTTATTTATGGGCCCTCCCTGGTGGCACAACTGGCTGGGACACAGCAGCACTGCAAGCTAGCCACAACCACTTCAGTGTGAGTTCGATCCCTGGCCCCGGAGGTGATCTACATGGTGCGGCAGACCTCTCCTGACTGGACTGCTGCTCCTCTCAACAGTGAACTTCATCCCTCTGCCTGATCTGTGCCCCACTGTCTCTGGTGAATATTTTCACCGCCCCTGTATCTCTGGCCTGTATGCATAAATAAGTAAATCTTAAAAAAAAAACAAAAACTATTTATTTATTTATGCATACAAGAATTGGGGCCAGAGGTGCGGGGGTGATAGGAGTCACCAGAGACAGAGTGGGGAGCAGAATAGGCAGATCGAGTGAAATACACTGCTGAGAGGAGCAGCAGAGGGTGGGTCAGGAGAAGTCTGCTATGCCGTGTGGGTCAGCTCCCTGGGTAAGGATGGAACTTGTGTTTCAGTGGCTGCAATTAGATTCATAGTGCTGCATTTTAGCCTGTTGGACCACCATGGAGGGCCCTCATCTGCCTCTTTTATCAAATCCTTTATTACATAGTAAAACAGTAAATGTAAATGTTTAATGTTTCTGTGAGCCATTCTAGCATATTACTGAATCTGAGGAGGGGGTGGTGGGAACCCCTAATTCAAGGCCTGCACTGGCATCTGAAGTGGGGACAGTCTGCGGCACTTTAATTCTGTGGCATCTGACACTGTCTCCAGGTAGATGGTGTCAGAACTGAGCTGAGTGGTAGAACATCCGGCTGGTGTTAGCAAAATGGTTAGGTGAGAAGTGTTTTGAGTGATAACAAAGCAGTTGTGTTTTCCTTTCAACAGCACCCACTAGAGACTACACTAGCCCACCAGCACCTTTGTGAAAATTAAAGGAAGGGCCTCTTCCTCCAGGTGGTAGCAGCCTGGCACAGGTAGGCAAGCAAGAGTTTGTTTCCAGCCCGTGCACCCCTCCTTGGGCAGCAGGTCTGCTCAGGCGCACTACCCTATGCCTGCTGAGGCCGGGCAGTGTGCTCACTGCGGAGACAACTTGGACAAGGACTGGCAGGGCTTTTTAGGAAATCGCAGGTCCAAGCTGTTTGGTTCTTGGAGACCACCTAGAATCACTATCATCAGAGTTCCGGTCACTGCCATTTATGAAATGCTTATGAGCTGAATACCATGCTAAGGGTTTTCTTCGCAACATACTCCTACTCTCAAAAGGGCCACAGCTGAGGCAGGGGCTACCAACCCCCCCTGTATAAATGAGGAAATTAATGTTTTACATACTCACATGTCCTCAGTTTCACGTCAAGAGAACACAGTGGCAGAGCGATTTGCCCCTGGTCTCACTGCTAACCAAGCTGGTGGCTGGGCAGGACCAGGCTCTCCTGAGTTCACATGCCCCACTCGCCCCTGCGCTGGCAGGGCTTACATGTAGGAGGTAGAGCGGATACACTGGTTGTGAACCCTGGGCCAGGTCCTTAACCTTTCTGTATCTGTTTCCTTCTCTGTGAGGTGAGGATAATGAGTAGTTCCCACTTTACAGAGTTATTGTACAGATAAAAGGAGGAAATAACTGGCAGTACCGAGACCAGAGCCTGACACACAGCGAATACTCAGTAAGGGCTAACTCTTATTATTAGCTGGGAACTCATTCGTGGAAAATGGTGGGAGGAAGTAATGAAAACGAGACAGAAATCAGAATTCATGGTAGGCTTGATGGCGCTGTGGGTTTCATTTTTTTATTTATTTTTACCATTTCTCTACTCTCGACTGTGTGTGTGAGCTTAGAGATGTGACTGAGGTGGGGATCCGATACCTTCCATCTCTTGTCCCCTCTGTCTGGAATGCTCTTTCCTCAGTTTTATGCTTTGCTGTTCCACCTCCTTTAAGCCTTGGCTCAAAATTCACTTTTCCCCAGAGCAATACACAGCCCCCTACCTCCCCAAACTTCCTATCCCTCTCCCCTCCCCAACTTTATTTTTTTCCTCTGTACTTCCTAAAACATATTGTTCTTTTATATCTAGACTGTAAGCTTTAAAGGGTGGGAATGGTTCCGTCTGCATTGTTGGTTCCTAGCTCCAGTGCTTAGAACAGTGTCAGATACATAATGGGAAACTTAAAAGGTTTTTTTTGGTGAATGAATGAAGCTGCCTTCTTCAAAACCTGCCTGGGGCCTCAGAAAGGAGCCATCCTTGGTGCTGGTCTGATCTGGCCAGGTGCCAGAGATGATGGGTATAACCTGACAACTTCTGGGACACTCATGCTTTGCCTGATATATCTCTGGAAGCTTTACATGCATTGCCTCATGTTATGATTTCCTCATAATGGCCATCCAAAGTATTTATATTATCGCAACTTTAAAGGTGAGGAAACCGAGGCTCACAGAAGCATATACCCCGCTCAAAGTCACACAACTTGTGAGCAGCAGTCAAAATTCAAAGCCAGGCCTGTGTGAAGCGAGATGCTGAGCCTTTCCCTCTGCATACTGCAGGATTCAGCCCTGTAGTGGCCTATGGCAGGCCATCACGTTACAGAAGTCAACACACAAAGTCTCGTGTGCTAAGTGCTAACTCTGCCATGTCTGACTCCACCCTTTCTCTTGTTCCCCACACCCAGCAGTCAAATCCGTCCCACAGAGAATGTGCGGTTCAGCTTGGGAATGGCTCTGAAGCCTTCCCTTCAAGTCACCGCTGGCTCCCAAACTAGCTCAGGGCCTGCTTTCATTCACATAGTCCAAGTCCATGGCTCCCAGCTAACCCCTGCCTCCAGGCTTACCTTTTCCCTCTAGCTTTCCTCTCGTTGAGGGCCAGTTTCCCCAATGCAGTTCAGGTGGGATCACTCCTGGGTTCAGAACATTTTACTAGTCCCCAGTCACTCCAGGGAAAGTTCAGATTCTTCCTAGAGACATTCAAGGGCTCTCTGGTCTAGCTCAATCTTCTCCTCTAAATTTGTTTTGTGTTAGTCTCTCTTCAAGCACGCACCGTGTTCTCCAATCTCAACAGGCCCATGTTGGCTCTCCTGCCAGAAATGCAAGCTTTCCCCAGTTACTTCTCAAAGTCCTCCAAAATATTAAGATTTAATTCATATGCCACCTCTTTACTGGTCCTCCTGATCCATAGGACAATCTCTCCTGCCTCTGGCTTATCGACATTTTGTGTCCCTATGCCCAGCAGCCAGCAGCAGATATTAGGTTCTCAGTCCCTATGCTGTGGCCCGAGTCACTGCCTAAGCATACAGATCTTGTGAAATGAACTGGTGTTGGTGCTGATTTCTACAGAATTTAGGGACAAGAGGACTTAGACATATATAGAGAGGCCCACAGAAAGCTTCAGAAGGGCAACAGAATATAGCATACAAAAACACAGGTTCAAGGACTTGACTGCCTGGGTTCAAATCCAGCTTTATCTCTTACTAGTTAAGTAGCTTTGGAAAATTACTTCTCTGGGCCTCCACTATCTCATCTGAAAAAGGAAGGTAATCAGAACACCCACTACTTCCACAGGGTCACAGCAAAGACTATACAATGGGTGATCCTGTATAAAAGTACTGAGAACAGTACCCGGTAGCTAAGCCCTGGTAAGGGGACCAAGGCTGACAGGGTGGCACAGGCATAGCCCCCAGCTGTAGCTACTTTCCAGGTACATTTCCCATGAGCTACTTACTTACAGCCCTATCAGGAGATAGGCAAAGCAGGTATTTAGCTCCATTTTACAGATGAAGGACTAAGGCTCCCTTAGGGAAAGTGCCAGTATAGAAGTCACTGGGCCCGAACTCCAAAGTTCTAGTCTAGGCCTCCTTCTCTTCCACCAGGCCTTTGTGCACCTGTTGTGCAGGCCTCACACAGCAACCAGCAACCCTCCAGTCCCCCAAGAAAGGGCCCAAGGCTACAGTTCCCTCCCCACCCCTGAGCATGTCCACCCATTCAGCCAAGACAGGCCTAGTATGCAGCTATGCACAAACATGGAGCACCTATGTGGTTTACCCTTATACCTACACACGCACGCAGCACCCAACAGAATAGCTGAGGCCCCAAAGGTGAGGAAAACCTGTTTTGAGGAATCTGCCTAGTGAGCGAATTCCGCTCCCGTTCCCAGACCCTTCCACAGTCACAAAAGCAGCCCAGTATGCGTCACAGAAGACACGGAAAAGCAGAGATACCCACAAGGGGGGCAGAGAGGGGGTGAAACAGGAGGAGGAGACTGAAAACTTCGTGTTTCTTTTTTCCATTTCAGTGACAAGAGTCACGCCCGACCTTTACGTAAACATGGCCAAGGAGCCACTCTGTCCAAGCTTAGTTTCCTTGCAGTCGCCAGGCCTCTCCTCCCAGTGACCCTGACTCGCTGGGAGGGCTAGTGAGGGGCAAGCACACAGACCCTGCGCAAAGACTGGTCGGGCCACCCCGACAACAGCCAGGCCTCCTCCTGCTGCCCTTGTTCTGCCCCATATTTATCTCCTGCCTTCTTCGGCAACATATCCCCACAGCAGCCCCACGCCACCACTTACACACACAGAAGGCAGGCACGCATACAGCTTGTGGCTGATCTCTGGAGTCTGAGGCCCACACTGCCCTTGTCACGCCACCACCCTCCCCACAAGTGTTTTCTGACCAGCTCGCCTCCCAGCCCAACAGCACAGACAGGCTCCTGCAAACAACGTCACCAAAGAATCTGTGGAGAATGTTGCAAACACATAACCTTCCCCTCGCTCAGCTGCCCACGATCCCATAAACACAACCTGTACATTCCGCATAGAGCCCCTCTTACCAGTGCCAGCTGACCCTGAGACACACCCTGGGCCTTCCACTTCCTACATGATCCTCGGACCTGAGTTCTAGACATGCAACCCCCATGCAACTTGCTTATCACACAGACATATACACCCCTCCAAGCACCATTCTCGCGGAGACTGGACCACACCTCAGAGCGGGGTCACAGAAACGGGACCCTAACAGAGACACCTTTTGAATCAAAGATACACAACCATCCCCATCCAGATGGGCACATACACTCGGGTGCCCTCCACAACACATATTCCATATCAGCTATGCATAAAACCAGTTAATAAATAGTTCATATGTGCAGCCCAAGATACATACGTGCAAGAAAATACATGCTGCTATAAAATATACACAAAATCCCACATCTAACAAACTCAACAAACCCGGCACATATTGTGTCTTGCTTTGAATGCGGACTTGCCACCCAAAGTCATGGGGCCAGATCTTGTATTTTCGCCCCATAACACTGGACACCCCTCCATCTGGCTCTCTGTCCCCACAGCCCTGGGAGGGCCCTACCCGCACCCCTGGCTGCCAGACCAGCAAACAGTGGTGCCCAGGAGAGGTTTACCTTGCCCCACCAACACAGCAGACGACACACAATCTCCAGGACTCACAGCCACAACCCAGCCCCGACGGCGCGTAGTTCTGGGGCCCCTGCTCGCCTTGCGAACCCCGCACACCCCAACTCTGGGGCGCTAGGCGGTCCACCCCTCCCCCTCTCTGCCTGGCTCCTACGCCATCGCCCTCCCAGCAGCTTGCAGCGCCGGCCCGAGCTCACACCCGCCCCACCCCACCCCCAACCTGCCCCACGGGGGGGGGAGGGGGGCATTAGGCTGCAGAATTAACCCTTCAAATGGGGAGTAAGCAAGGCCCCCTCCACGTCCACAAACGATCGCGCCCCCGATCGCCGCTCTGTAGGGCGCCGTATGGGGCCCCCTTGGTCGCCCCCCAACGCCTCGCGCGCCTGGGGGCGGGGCCAGGCTCAGCCCCCGACCCCGGAGCCCCCAGGTCAAGCCCAAAGGGGAGCGGTCGCGGCGCGGGACGTGGCCCGG